GCCCCATACCCCTCTGCGCCCTGCTCCCGACCACATCGCCGCCCCAATCCCGACCCTGTAACCCCTGCCAGGTCATCATGACTCTGCCGCTCCCTCCACCCACCTACCTTTCTCGCGCCCGATGGGACTACCGAGTGGAGCGGCACATCTATTAGAAGATAACGCAGGTGTCTTAAGATGAGCTCAACGAGAACAGAAATCTCGTGTGGAGAAAAAGGGCAAAAGCTCATCTGACTTCGATTTCCAGTTCGGTACAAACTGTGAGAGCGTGGCCTATTTATCCCCGGACGTTGCAGGACTCCAAGCAGAAGGCGTCAGGTTCGTGGCCTCCATCATCATCAGCATCATCATCATCATCATCATCGTCATGGTCCGTGCCGTCATTGCCGTCATCATTACGTTGGCGTGTCATCATCAGTTCGTGCATTTGATCCGGCGACCTCGTCGTTCCACCGGTGGAACGATCGAGAAGACCCTTTAGGGGTTGATTGAAGACCTTCCTCGACTAGGAGGAAGGACCTTGATTGCTCCCAGCCGACCGGGAGCGCGGTATTGTCAATCTATCTCCCTCCTACTAATCCCCTCCCTTCCTATCGCCGGTCTCTCTCAAAGAACTCGTCTTTTTCCCCATCATCTGTCTCTCCTCCAACACCCCTTCTCTCCTCCACCCACCCACCTAATTGGTTGCATCATCCAAAATTTCTACTACGTGTGTCACGTATCGTCCGTCTTTGTGCTTGCCTGACAATGCCGTCCATTCTGCCATTCAGAATTTCAATCTGATTCGATAGAATTAATCTCCACCTTCTTTCCTCGCAACGCTGTAATCAGAATTAAGTTCGGCAGTCTTGTTCAAAAGTTATGCAAATTTTTATAGTCTCTTGATTCTTTTCGTTATTTAATTTCAAAATTCAATTTCATTTCAGAAATTCATGAAATAAATTTACTACAAAGAATTCTTCCAATGTCGAACTTCCCTTCTATCTTCTCTCTCTCGTAAAATTTCGGAATTCCTCCGTCGTTTCTGAAATTCCTTTTGATTTCCTTTTATTTTTTTTAAAATTTGATCTTGAAACAAGTCAAGAAATTTTATTCATTTGATCTAGACAATCCTGGAATTTCTCTGAACTTACTTTATGCAGCTATCACTAATTCTTTCTGAAATTTCATCGTAAATTCTTAATTTAGGAATTAGTTTTCTACTTTTATTTTAAATTGCCCTTGAAATTCTTTTAATTCTGAAAATACGCTGAGAAATTTTCCATTTTATTTCAAATTTTTCCTATCAACTCGTCTCTACATCTCTCATCACGTCCTCGAACTTTCGAAAATTTTATGAGTGTTTTTGAAATTCCTTGAATTTTACTTCAATTTCTTCTAAATTCTGAAATTACGTCCAAATATTTTCGGAATTTTATTTTGAATTCGTGATTGTCTTATGCATGTTCCCACTATTCTTTGAAAATTTCCTCTCATTATCTTCCCTGAATTGGAAATTTTCCCCTTTTTCCCTCAATCCGACTTTGAATTTCCTTGATTTAATTGTGGACGTTTGTCAGACCTCGTTTATACTCGCCTTCCTCTCGCAGTCCCTTACTTCTCTTTCTGCGTACCAACGTGGCTCCCCGCGACACCCATCAGCGCGTACTCCAAAATCGCGCCCGAGATGCTCGTGCCGCAAACCGACTCGCTCGCTTTGACGCAACGATTGCTGCCACTGAGCACCCTCCCCGCCCCAGTTCTCCCTCCTCACCTCCTCCATCCCCTGACCCCATGCAGACCACCGAATTTGCGAGCCCCTCCCGCTCCACCAGCGAAGGACTTGCATTCCTAGCTCACGAGCCTACATATGACTCAATGGCCATCCCTATGGCAACCAGTTTGGGCCCAGCTCCCCAGTTGGATCCCATAGTGGACCTCCTGGCCAGACTCGAGGCCAAAATCACGGCCCTCCATACCGACTTTTCATCCCTGTCGGCCCGTGTGTCACAGTTGGAGCCCCCTACCAGTTCATCCCCCCCCCCACCCCCCTCATCTACATCCTTGCCAGCTTCCTCTACTTCTTCGGCAGGCGTCATCTACACACTTGCTTCTTCCACGGGCTGTATGTCCTCAGCCCATCGCCACCCTTCCTCTGCAGCCATCTCTGCCTCTCAGGTATCTACCCCTGCACCTCCCTCCTCAGGACCCATGGCATCATGTCCCGCCACCTCCTCGACGGTAGTCTCCACGGCACCTGTCTCTTATACACATCTAGATGTGTATAAGAGACAGGCCAAGACACAGAATGTCGAGCTCCAACGCCAGCTCACCCTGGCCCATGATCACATCCGCCTACTCCAAGGAGGTCAACCCCTACCTCCCCACCTCGCGGCACAGCCTGCTGCCCCTTTCATCTATCGACAACATCAGACACAGGCCGCTGCGATGCATTTCACACTCCCATCACCAGCCACCACGATGTGTCAGGGACCGTTGCCCCGGCTCCCCGCTCTTTCTAGTGGTTCTGCTGGTGCCACTACTTCTTYTGTCCTCTTBTCACAGTGTGCCCTCCCCCTCCCTCCCCATTACCAGCCCCCGGCTTATGTACCTCGGTACCACCTCGACAGAGTCCCCTAGTTCGATGATAAGGCCTTTGAACTCCAGGGCTGGATCACCACAGCCGAGGAGCAACTTCGGTACCATGGGGTAAACATGGACTTGTGGCCTACGGAGATGTCTGCCCGCTTCGTCGGTCGAGCGGCTTCCATTTGGCGCGACTTTCTCGCCCTTCGTACTCAGCAGGGCGTTCACGCGAGTATGACGTACGCGGAGTTTCGTGATTTTCTCCAACAGTACTTCTCTCGCCCGATGCCTACTCGTGACCCGATCACACGGATCGCTGAGATCAGATGGCTTTGTGGCAACAATGCCTTAGAGTCGTACATCACGGCATTCCACCGCTTTCACGCCCAGATCCCCCCCTCCCTCATAGCCGACGACGCTTTGGTCCAGCGTTTCCGTGCCAGGTTACCCCAACCCTTCCAGCTTCAGATGTTGGCATACACGGTCCATACCCTCCCCGAGGCCTTCTATCTTGCTAGGGCCATCCAGCTCACCTATGCACCCCTTGTGGGCTCCACATCTGCGCATGGTGCCGCACCTCCCGCTTCATCATCTGCCCCTGGCACATCTCGCCCCCGCCAGTTCTCCACGTCTCGCCGAGGTCCCTGTCGAGTCCCTGGACGTGCCTTCTTCCGCCGTGTCCAGACTATGCTCCGCGTGTCGTCGAGCGCTGAGGAGGGTACTGGTTTGGACGGATCCCATAGCGACCCGGACCAGGAACTTGACCCCCAGTCCCTTGTGGATGGCGATGACCCCGACCAGGACAAGCACCTCGCCCGCGCCTTCTCTGCTTTCTTGAGGCAGTGCCAGCCCTCCTCATCGAGGACCCTCTCTTCCGCCACACAGCTGCCCCTCCCATCGGGTTACGCCTTCCCCCGCGCCCGATTGACTATCGCGGAGTGTGAGGACTTCCGTGCACGAGGTATGTGTACACGTTGTCGCCTACCTGGTCACACTCCGTCCATCTGCCCCTACGCCGACGCCCTCCAACGTCACTTTGCTCAACAGTCCCGCCCTCAGCGTGACCCCCCCGCCTCGACCTCCAGCTCCGCAGCCACCTAGCGGTGATCTCCCGCTCCCCTGATCCTCCCACAGTAGCAGGCATACCCGCCCGCGATTCTACCTTCACGCCGCTTGCTACTCTTTCTGAGGACTCGGATCTGACTTCATCGTTGGTCGCTTCTAGCGTCGCTGGCCCACCCTCCAGTGCCTCCACTTCTTCGCCTAGYGTCTCTCATGATCCTCCTCCTCCTCGTCCTCCTACTAGGCGTGCTCTTCGCACGGCAGTCTGCAGTGCTTCCCTTGTTGCAGCCGAGGATATCATCGATTTCCTGGACCTTGAGTATGTTAAGGTCCACCAGGAATGTCTCCGCCTTAAAGAGCGCACCCTGACCGCGATGTCTCAGCGCCTACACAATCCCGATCGCACCGTACCAGTTATTCCAGTGCGCTTCGGGACCTCTACTAGAGTGTATCCCGCACTGTGGGACTCTGGCTCTACTGGCGACTTCATTCATCCTTGCGTAGTTAAGGAGGCATCCCTCTATACATCCCCCTACCCTTCCACTGTCATTGTCACGCTTGGTGACAATCAGGCCAAATCCTTCGTCGATTCGGTGGTGCCTGATCTTCCATTCTCCTTCCCCCTGCGGATGCCCCACAACCTTCGCAAGGCCCCTCGGTTCCATGACAAGTGGACCTTCGATGTCATGGAAACCCTATATGATCTTGTTTCTTGGCTCTGCCTATTCCCATCAGTTCGCTCATGCCGGCCCCGATTGGACCCACAACGATCTCGTCCTCGACGCCAAGGATGGGAAACAATACCGTATTCCGTTGTTGGGCAAATCGGACTCTACACTTCCCCCCCCTGTTAATGTCGCCATCTTGACACCAACTCAGTTCCACCACATCCTTCGTCAGTCTGATGCCGAACTCAACATTGTCGACATCACGGATCTCCTTGCCTGTAACTCTATGCATCAGGACACTGAGTTGGTCAAGCTCGACCCACCACCCCCTGAGCCCCCCGAGCCTCCTGATCCTTCGGCCCCTTCATCCCCCTTCACCCGTGCTACCCCATCTCACCTGCTTTTATCTTGTACCACGAAGGCACATACCGACTCCTTCCACCACTGCTTCAGACGCCGTTGCAGCCGAGGAGTTTGACAACCTCCTATCGACTTTGCAGCCTAGCATTGCAGCCCTCTTTCACGAGTATTGCGATGTTTTTCCTCCGACTGTCTCTTATAGCAGCATCCCTCCCATGCGCGATATCGAGCACCACATCCAACTTGAACCTAACTACCGTATTCAGCATCGCGCCCCATATCGCCTCTCGGTTCCCGAAGCCCAGGAACTTAAACGCCAAATTGACGAGCTGCTTCGGTAGGGCTTCATTAAACCGAGTAGGTCCCCATGGAGTGCACCTGTCCTCTTCGATCGCAAGAAGGATGACACTCTCCGCCTCTGCCTCGATTATCGCGGTCTCAACGAATATACGGTCAGACATAATTATCCTACGCCCCGTGCGGATGATCTGTTCGATCGCCTCTCCGGCCACCACTTTTTCACAAAGATTGATCTTTGTAGCGGATATCACCAGATCCGCGCAGCCGAGGAGGACCAGCCTAAGCCCGCTTTCCGTTCTCGTTTTGGGCACTACGAGTTTACCGTCATGCCTTTCGGTCTCCGTAATGCCCCTGCCACCTTCCAGACGGCTATGAACACGATGTTCCAAGACCTTCTTGAGGACTCGGTTCTAGTCTACATTGACGACATCCTGGTCTACAGTCGTATCTTAGAGGAGCATCTGACCCACCTTCGCACTGTCCTCCATCGATTACGCGACCATGGGTTTTATGAGAAGCTCTCCAAATGCCACTTCGCTCAACCCAAAGTCGACTTCCTTGGGCATCAGGTCTCCGAGCACGGACTCCACATGGACGACTCGAAGATCCAGGCCATTGTCGACTGGCCCACTCCTACGTCTTTTCCTGCGCTGCGTAGTTTCCTTGGGTTGACCAACTACTATGGTCACTTTCTTAAAAACTACGCGCAATATTCTTCCCAGCTTACCCCTCTGACCTGCGGACGTCTACCTTTTCATTGGACCCCGGCTCATGAGGATGCTTTCCGCTCTCTCAAGCGGCTTGTCACGTCAGCTCCTGTCTTACACTTACCCGACTACTCGCGTCCATTCATCGTCACCACCGACACATCTGACTTCGCTATTGGAGCTGTTCTCTCCCAGATCTATCCAGCCCCCTCTACTTCTCCCGATTCCACAGAGTCTCGCCTCCCTCGCATTCCTCGCTTCCCTCCTCCACCTCCAGCGACTGCGGCTCATCTTGCACCCATCGAGCACACCCCCCCAGGGGCCCCACCCCCTTATATTCCTGAAGTCGCTGATGACGGTACAGTCGAGTCTCGCGATGGAGAGTGTCCGGTTGCTTATCTATCTCGACAACTACTTCTCGCTGAGCGTAACTACACTGCCAACGAGCGTGAGGTCCTTGCGCTGGTCTACGCTTTTAAGAAGTGGCGTCATCATTTGCACGGTCATACTTTCACCGTTTTGACTGACAACTATGTCCTCGCCGCCCTCCAGACAATGCCTAAGCTCACTTCTCGTCATGCTCGTTGGTGGCGTGACCTCTCGGAGTTCGACTTCACCATCAAGAAGATTTCTGGCGAAAGCAATCGTGTTGCAGATGCCTTATCCCGCCGGCCCGACCTTTAGTGCGAGGATCGTCAGCTATCTGCTATCTCAGCTCCCATCATCCACCCCGCCTTTCTAGATGAGTATCGCCGCGCATACACCCAGTGCCCTGAGTTTCAGTCCATCTACGCTGACCTACAGGCTGGCAAGTCTGTCCCTAACTTCCAGCTTGATCCCTCTGGACTCCTATATTGGCTTGGTCGCCAAGGTACTCGTACTCCCCGCTTATGTGTGCCCTCTACTGGCCAGCTCCGTGTTCGGGCCGTCGCTGAGTGTCATGACCAGTGCGTCGCCGGTCATCTCGGCGTCTTCAAGACACTTGACCGCCTCTGCCGCCAGTACTACTGGGAGCACCGCCGTCCCTTCACTAAGGAGTACGTTCGCACCTGCAGGATCTGCAAGGAGGCCAACATTCCCAACCACCCCCCCTATGGTCTTCAGCCCTTACCCATTCCTACTCGGCGTTGGACTTCTGTCTCCATGGACTTCATTGGCCCCCTTCGTCCCCCTACCCCACGAGGCCATTGCTATCTTCGTCGTTGTCTGTCGGTTGACTAAGCATGCTCACTTCCTCCCATGCAAGTATGCTAGCTCAGCCAAAGACATCGCCTCCCTATACTTCAACCGTATTGCCATCCATCACGGTCTTCCCACTAGCATCGTCTCTGATTGCGACCCCCGCTTTACTTCCCATTTCTGGTGTGGAGTCCATGAGATCTATGGCTCCGAGCTCCGCCTCTCCTCCTCCTATCACCCCTAGTCAGCTGGACAGACCGAGGTCACCAACAAAACTCTTGGGAGTATCCTCAAGAAGTTTGTTGAGAATGACTCTGATTGGGATCTGCATCTTGCTCACGCAGAGATTGCTTATAACCATGCTATTTCTCCTGCCACTGGCATGTCTCCCTACTACTGTGACTTGGGATACCATCCCCGTGTCCCATCTGACCTTCTTCGTCCATCTCAGATCCATCCCGACACCAAATGCCCTGCCCTCGATGACTGGGTAAAGGAGATGGATGCCCTCCTTAGCAAGGCTCGCGAGAGCATTGCTGACTCCCTGACTCGCATGGCCACTCGCGCTAACCGCTCTCGCATCGACCATCCCTTCAAAGTTGGCGACGAGGTTCTTGTCGACGCACGTCACTTCCAGCCCGAAGTTGACACAGAAATTCAGATGTCGATATATTGGCCCATGCACCATTCTTGCACCTGCCGGACTCAATCATGACTGTCCGGTGAGCTTCAAATTGAAGCTCCCCGATCGCGCTAACTTACATGATGTGTTCCATGTATCACTTTTGCGCCCCTTCAGACGGTCTCCCCCCGAGTTCCATGGTTGAC